TAGGCTAGATATCAGGAGGCGCTACTTCACAGTCAGGGCGGCCAGGATCTGGAACCAACTTCCAAGAGAAGTGGTGCTGGCTCCTACCCTGGGGGTCTTTAAGAGGAGGCTAGATGTACACCTTGCTGGGGTCGTTTGACCCCAGTAATCTTTCCTGCCATGGCAGGGGGTCGGACTCGATGATCTGCTCAGGTCCCTTCCGACCCTATCAACTATTAAACTATGAAAGTAAAAAATCTGGTGCCCTCTGCTGCCTCCTATCAAAGGCAACATCTTACTGGAAGGGCGCACACACATACAATTCCTTGGTTACACAGTTCAAGCATAAAACCAAGCCTTGAATCTCCACCAGGCCTCTTTAGATGAACTCTATCGCTGGTTCCAGTTTCAAAAAGCCTTTTCACTCTCTCCCGAGAATTCGCCCCACTGTACACCAGCATGACACAAACCATTTAACTGTACTGTCTCGCAAACAGAAATTTATATCTGAGCCAAGACACCATGGATACTGGCACTCATGAGGGAGGATGGAGTAGGGGTGGAAAGAGAGGCCAGCTCTTAAACATCCGGCTTGCAACAATTTGTTGAACTCAACTCTTTGCTGAAAACAGTCAAATATGTCATAGCAGGTTCTATGAACTGGCTAGGCTAAGCGTTGAATAATCAAGACTCCCAAGGTCCCAATCAGAGCCACTGTCCAGTTTCCTAGGTGCGTGCACAACTCCCCATAACAACAGGACAAAACAAAACACGCCCCTACCCAAAAATGTCAACTTGAAAAAAGTGTGCTTTTTCTAGGGGTACACCAATAGAGTTTTTTGGGGCTGATACTGATGGCCAATATTTAAGTAGGCATATTGACCGATACCAATCCAATTTCCAATACAGCTGCCTTCAGCTGGTCAGTCCAGTGAGGTGGAAGAGGGGGAGGGAGGGGGCAGGGGCACACTAGAGCTTCAGCCCGGGGGGCAGGGGGGGGTGCAGCTCCTGCTTGCACCCTGGGAGGGTGTGGCATAGGCCCCCCGGATCTAGGTGGGACGGGCCGCGCAGGGCTCCA